TAAAGAAAATGTGGTGGCCAGGTGCGATGGCTCATGCCTGTAATCCCAGCACTTTGGGAGGCTGAGGCGGGGGGATCACCTGAGGCCAGGAGTTTGAGACCAGTCTAGCCAACATGGTGAAACTCTGTCTCTACTAAAAATTCAAAAATTAGCCGGGTGTGGTGGTGGGTGCCTGTAATCCCAGCTACTTGGGAGGCTGAGGCAGGAGACTCACTTGAACCCAGGATGCAGAGGTTGCAGTGAGCCAAGATCGTACCACTGCACTCCAGCCTGAGTGACAGAGAGAGACTCGGTCTTAAAAAAAAAAAAAGAAAGAAAAAGAACATGTGGTACATATATACCACGGAATACTATGCAGCCACAAAAAGGACAAAATCATGTCCTTTGCAGGGACATGGATGTGGCTGGAGGCCATTATTCTAAGTAAATTAATCCAGGAACAGAAAACCAAATACTGCATGTTCTTACTTATAAGTGGGAGCTAAACACTGAGTACACATGGACATAAAGACAGGAACAGGAGACACTGAGGGCAACAAGAGTGAGGAGGGAGGGAGGGAGGGGGACAAGAGTTGAAAAACTACCTATTGGGTACTATACTCATTACCTGGGTGGCAGGTTCAATCACACCCCAAACCTCAGCATCATGCAATGTACCCATGTAACAACCTGCTTGTGTACCCCTGAATCTAAAATGAAAGTTGAAATAAAATAATAATAATAACAACAACAATAATAGGTATGGATTAAGACCACAGAATAAAATAAATATCCAGGAGCCCATACTGATATAAATGAATAACTGAATAAATAAATAAATAGGGGAGAAGGGACAATTCTTCCTTAAAGAAGAATTCCAATCAACTAATCTAGAAGGAATGATAGGCTGTCTGTGGTGGCTCACGGCTGTAATCCCAGCACTTTGGGAGGCCAAAATGGATGGATAACCTGAGGTGAGGAGTTCGAGACCAGCCTGGCCAATATGTTGAAACCCCATCTCTATTAAAAATACAAAAATTAGCCAGGCGTAGTGGTGCACACTTGTAATCCCAGCTACTCACGAGGCTGAGGCAGGAGAATCACTTAAATGTGGGAAGTGGAGGTTGCAGTGAGCCGAGATGGTGCCACTGTACCCTAGCCTGGGTGACAGAGCGAGACTCTGTCTCAAAAAATAAAAAAAATAATAAAATAGAAGGAATGATGGAAATTATAACTAGACAAACATTATCAAGTGTGCAAGGTTAACATCACAAGCAACAAGACATTGATAGCATGTCTCCCCACCCCTGATGGAATGCACTGAGGAGGGCACGGCATCATTTCTAGGATAAACTTGCCAAAATGCATAACCTCAGTTTAATTATGAGAAAACAACAAACAAACTCAAATCAATATTTCACAAAATACCTGGCCAGTACTTTTCAAGTGTCAAGGTCATGAAAATCAACGAAGAGCAAAGATTGGAGAAGATTAAAAAAACGTGGCAATTAAATACCAGAAAAGAATATGAGTGGTAAAATTGGTGAAATTCAAATAAGGTCTGCAGCTTGTTAGCTAACAGTGTATCAATATTAATTTTCTGGTTTCAAACTCATACCATGGTTACGCAAGGCGTCAACACTAGGGGAAACTGGGTGATGGGTATATGCACTATTTTTACTACTTGTTTTGTATATCAGTATTTCAACATAAAAGTTTCTTTTTTAAAATGATACTCTGTCTTACACCAACGGCCAGTGCTTCTCATGCACACATGGTCCAGATAATTTCCCAGAGTTGCCAACAGCTGGCCTGCTTCCCACTTCTTGAATTTTCTCCAAGCTCTGATTATGTTCCCCTATGGAACTCCAGAGGGACAGCAGCCCCGGGTGAGTCAGACTACAGCTTCAGGGTCAGATCAACTTGGGTTCAACCTGCAGCTCATCGCCTGCCCTTAAGCCCCAGCTCTTCCCTTCTCTGACGTCATCAGTTCCCGTGTCACCTCCTCAGAGGGGTCTTCCCTGACTACCCACGCAACCGTTCTTTTCCCTCCAGGATTGATTTTTCCCACATACCTGGTTTCAGTTCCTTAAGAGCAGTTACACACCCCAGAAAGTTGCATTCCCTGAAGTGCACACACACTCTAAAACATCCTTACTCCCTTACCCGTTTACTTGTGTATTATCTTCCCTCCTCTACTTCCCTCCCCCCGAATGCAAGCTCCTCCAACTACCTCGACCATAGCTGTGTCCTCAGCCCCTCGCCCAGCATCAGGCCAGTGGCCACTCAGTAAACATTAATATCCTGACGGCATGTGTCTCATTGGTCTGTGGCTTTCCTTCGTATTTGGCTCAGGTCATATCAAGCACTGGCCTCAACAGGCCCAGCACAAGGGGTCTGTGACTTACTCATAAAACTCAGCTGCCGGTGTGAACTTGTACTTGGAGTACTTGGTGTGGTTGCCAAGCACGGAGCCATTGAGGAGCTTGGGGTCGGTACAGTTGGGGCTGTTCCAGGTGTGGCCACAGTCGGTCCAGGGCAGGTTGAGGGTGAAGGAGGAGAAGAGGTAGTAGAGTGACCAGGCGATGATGACGTTGTAGTAGAAGCCAACGTACAGGGCGATCAGGATGACAGCATAGCCAACGCCTGGGCGGGAACAGGGAGTAAGGCAGGGGTCTCCCAGGACCAGCCCCACAGCCACCTCTCCTTGGGTGTGGCTCCACCACTGCACTCCCATTCCCTTCGCCTCTCGTTTCCTGTAGCACAGCGGTCCCCAACTTTTTCAGCACCAGGGACCAGTTGCATGGAAGACAATGTTTCCACAGATTTGGGGGTGGGGATAGTTTCGAGATGAAACCGTTCCACCTCAGGTCATCACGCGTTAGTTAGATTCTCATAAGAAGCACACAACCTAGATCCCTCGCATGCGCAGTTCACAGTAGGGGTTGCGCTCCTATGAGAATCTAGTGCCGCGGCTGATCTGACAGGAGGCGGAGCTCAGGCGGCCATGGGAGACATGGGGAGCAGCTGTAAATACAGATGAAGCTTCACTTACCCGCTGCTCACCTCCCGCTGTGTGGCCCAGATTCTAACAGGCCGCCGACTGCACAGTTACTGGTCCACGGCCCGGGGATCGGGCAAACGTGCTATAGCAGATTGCCAGAGTCCATAGGTGCCTGCCATCTCTTTGCCTGATAACTCTCTCTTTCCACTGGAGCTCCCCTGCCCACTCAACCACCTTCTTGCTCCCAGTGGGCAGACATGTTAGGAGCTGGATTGTGAGTATCCAGCTCCCTCGCCCCATGGGCAGGATAACACTGATGGGTGTTCACATTCTCCCCTGATGGGACCGAGCTCCCTGCCCAGGGTGGCACTGATTTGGTGCACGCCTTTATGGCTGTCTCCCCTTCCCTACCCCCAGCTGCTGCTCTCTAAGGATCACCTCCCACACTAACTACACTTAAATCCTTGTCTCCGAACTGCTTCTGGGGAAACCCAACCAAGCACTCCCTGATTGGAATTTCAGCCCTGTGTGCTTTCTGGGTCCTATTCTCAACCACCTGCTTCAGGTGCCAGTATCGTGTGCCTCAATGTATCATAAGCTCCTTTAGGGGTAGTTCTATAGCTTTTTTCTAGGATAGATGTATTGTTTACCTACCCAACATTGCTTTTTAAGGAATTAGCCTTAAGTTATGATTAGCCTGTGAGGTGTGGGTGAGGCTATTCCCCACTCTTCCTCCATCAGGAGATGTATGCCTGGCCAATCAGAGCACTGCTTTCTCACAGTCACAGTGATTGGTTAGTAGATGGGCATATGACTCAAGTTAAACCAATGAGAATCTTCTCTGGAACCTTTAAGGAAGCTATGACTCTATAGGGGTTTTTGTTTGTTTATTTGTTTGCTTTTGGTAAAATTTAAACTTGGTAAAATTTAACCCTGGAGTTGCTGATGGCCATCTTTGCAGGTACTTGAGAAGAATTTACCTGAGACTGATTCTAACAGAATAAAACAGATCTGAAACACTAAAAGAGCGATAGATTCCAGACATCATTATTTGGGCATCTGGATCTATCTATACCTGAAGCCAATCCCCGGACTTTACTGTAACAGAAGTCAACTCTCTTTTATATTGAAGCCAGTTTGAGTTGAATTTCTGACAATTAACAACAAGAAAAGTAACGAATGCACATGTCTTATAAGGCTCTTGCACCAGCTGTATCTCCCACAGGACTGAGTACAGAGGAGGTACTCAGCTGGAGACACATGCCAGCTGAGAAGAGGCTCATGGGAGTCACACTGGCCCTCGTGGCCACCTGTGCCCAGTTCTCCAACCAGTGCTTGGGAGAGACTAACTCTTCCTCCATGCCCTTCTCCCAGCTGTATAGGGGCCAAGAAATAGCAGTTGCTCTGGCTACTTTCTGCAGATGTGTTCTTAGTCCCAAATGCAAGTAGGCTTCATGTTGTATTTCAGCTGCAATCAACTAGTTGTGGCTATTGTACGAATCAGCTTTCAGGCTGGACTCAAAAAGATCCATGATCAACTTCTAAGGACTGCCATGGGAGCAAAAGGAGAGACTAGTGGTATATGTGCTCGGTACTTCTGATACTTATGTAAAAATTTCCCATACAGGAAATAGACTCTCTGGTCACTCAGCAGATAGAGCTGGATTAGAACCCAGGTTTCCAGAATTTCTATGCTAATGCTATTCCCAACACACTGAATGCTCTCCATGTAACTTGGAATGGTGGACAGTCTTGACCTTGTCAATACCTGTGAACCCCACATGACAGGAGGTCTACCTTAGATCTCACCACTGGAGCAGATTCCCCAGGGGCAACAGGGAAGCCTTTATGAACAACCATGAAACTTCCTCCCACCCCTTCTTTACCTTTGAAGAATGGGCAGATTTTCCACACGGTGGCAGCCCCCTCCCGGTTGTACTGTCCCAGAGCCAGCTCCATGTAGAACAGGGGCATCCCCGCGATGATAAGGAACAGTGTGTACGGGATCAGGAAGGCACCTGGAGGACACAGGGGCAGAGTGTGACCTGACAGACCCCTGCCCCCTCCACCCTGGTCTTGGATCCATGTCTGCAAGAGCTGCCAAGATCCTGGGCATCTGCTCAGCTGGCTGTTTCCAAAGATGACGCACAGCAATCAATACTAATCATCATAACAGTAACAGTATTTGTGGTAGTAATAATCATAACCATAATAGTGAGATTCTATGGTCAAATTAGTAAAATCTAGGTTAAGCAAAGCAAAATAGATTTGCTTCTTGCAGGCTTCTCCTAGCCTTTGATACACAACTGCATGCTGTGATGTGTCAGGAGGGGGATCACAGGTGTAGCCTTTACCAGATTTATTTAAACACTGAACATTTTCTTTCATGAATCATCACTCTGGGAATGCCAATCTAACCCAAACCCTTCCTTCTACAGGCAAGAAAATTGAGACCAGAGGAAAAGAGACAGTGCCTAAATTTACATGACGGAGTTTCTAATTTTGCTGGTATCCATATCACTTAGGGTTGCATGTGGCTTTCCCAAACATGATCTCACCGGATTCTTCTTGGAGTTTCACAACAGCCTGCAAACATAATAACCAGTCAGGGTCATTACGTACCCCCAGGGCAAGCTGAGGGGAAGAGAAGGAAGTCTAATGGCTCCTGTTGGTGCTGCTGGTAGGTAATGGAAGCAGGATTCACATTCCGGCCTTCCAACCCACTAGGTCCCCACTGTTATAGGCGGCTGAAGCAAAGGGGCAGAGGTTCAAGTCCCTGACCAGGGAAGTTATCCACCCAGAACATCACAGAAACTTGATGGGGTCCCTGGGCACCAGGCAGCGATTAATTCCTGGGAGAATTCCCTTGCAGTGGTGGGGGGCAGGGCAGAAAGGGGGAAAAGGTAAAACTACTGAGATATGAGCATCTCCTATGGACTTAGATGAATCTGAGTTGCGGAGACAATTCTCAGTACACCCTGGCAGCCTGGGGTGTGCTTAGTGGGCTCTGACTCTGCAAGGTGACTCACTGGGACACATGTCATATGAGCCCCAGCTTGCAAGTGTGCCCAAAGCAAAACACCAGCTCCTTTCCACACACAGCTGGAGGTGGCCAGGCCAGATCTAAACTCCTGTTACCACTGGCCTTTAGCTAAGGTGTTGTAACCCTGGAAACCAAATACTCTCTGACCTACCCACATCAAGGAAACAGGAAATACTTTAACAATGGTAACACTAGCAATATTAACAATAGATACCAGGAGCTCACACTTGCTCGTCCCCTTCTGAGCTCCAAGCACTTTCATTCAATCCCTACCACAAAGATCAAAGATCATTATTATTTCCATTTTACAGATGTGGAAACTAAGGCTTCAAGATAACAAAGAACTGTGGCAAAGTCACATGATACCTAGGGTCAAAATCACTCAGCTACTCAGACTATCAGTCTCCACTTGTTTCTCAGGGCACCTCTCCTAAGTAGGAAGCATGAAGCGTTGGCCCCAGTGCTGAGAGGCCCAGTTCCTTGTGAGTGGAAGATGGATCAGTGGTGGGGGGCAGGGTGGAAAGGGGACAAACGTAAAACTACTGGGAAATGAGCATCTCCTGTGTATCAGGCAGGACCTGGGCACTGGCTATCTGTGATCCCACTTACACTCCCCAGAAACCCTCTGACATAGCAACTGCTATACCCATTTTTCAGATGTGGAAGCTGAGGGTTGGAGAAATTAAGTGACCTGACCGACCTTAACCTGCTGGTAAGTTGTGGATCTGGGATTTGGGTCCAGGTCTGCCTGGCTCAAGAACTCCAGAGCTGTTTCCAACATGCCCCAAAGATTCCAGAACATTCCAACCTAGATGAAGGACATGAGTCTGAATAGGATCAGAGGGTAGGTTGTTCTGAAATGGGGGATCTGGGACCAGCTAAGCCATCTGGTCTATTGGTCATAGGCTGGCCCAATGCTACAGCCACTGCTCCAGGTTGAAAGTCTCTGGAGTGGCCATGTGCCATTTTTCTCCTTCCTCATTTCTTCCTTTCATTCTCTGCCTTTCTCCCTCTCCCACATAGAGAGGGCTGGTTTGCTACCTGACCCAGGTCTCTATGCACATTGCTGACAGTAATGGTGGTGCTGGTGTGCTGATGTAGATGGAGGTAGTTAGTGGGGTTGGCAAAAGTAACAAGTACTGTTTGCTGAGCACCTGTTATATGCCAAACTGCACACAAGTTTTTACATAATTATTTACTTAAAACCACCCCTGAGAGAGAATTACCACAATCTCTTTTACAGATGAGGACACTGGGGCTTAGAAAGGTTAAGTTGCTTGTCCAGCTAGCAAGTATGAAGCTCGGTTTCAAACCTGGATATGTCTCAGCCCTACTCTGCCTTGTGGCCAACTGTTACTCCCCTTGAGGATTTAGAGCCAGGGCAAGGGGCAGTTAGATAGGTGTATTAAACTGTTTAATAGGGCCAGGCACAGTGGCTCACGCCTGTAATCCCAGCACTTAGGGAGGCCGAGGCAGGAGGATTGCTTGAGCCCAGGAACTCAAGAACAGCCTGGGCAACAGAGTTTGAGGCTGCAGTGAGCTATGATCACGCCACTGCCCTGCAGCCTGGGTGGCAGAGTGAGATGCTGACTCAAAAAAAAAAAATAAAAATAAAAAATAAATATATATATATATATGAATACAAAACAAATAAACAAAAACTCTTTGATAGGCCTGAAGATGGAAGTCGGTGGCCCAAGGGAACATGGGGAAGGAAAAAGCCAGGAGTCACTGCTCAGACCTCGCCACTGTGGGTTGCCCCCAGCAACTCCATACTCTGCTGCATGGCCAAGGAAGGGGAAAAGCAACATCAGCCAGTTAACCAGTCATCTCACTTTGGCCAGTTTCCTCAACTCTAAACCTCTGGGTGGCACTGCCAACACATAGGTAAACTGCCCAGTTTGGAGTCATTCTTCCTCTGCTGGCTGGGAGGCACAACAACATGAGAAAAGGAGGGAAGATGATGGGTCTGCATGCACCTGCGGCTCTTCTCTGTGCGTGCATTTGATATGGGCCAACCAAAGCTTCATTCAGGTGGAAACAGATTAAGAAGACCAAAGAGTGGTGAAATGGCTTAGTAGGAATGAAAAACAGCCAGCTACTCGTGGCCAGTACCTTATTCTAAAAGAGGACAGCTAGCTTGCCCAAGGCCTCTTGCAGAAGGAAACCTGGGAGAGTTTCCTTCTCCTCTTGTAGAAGTAAATTCTTCAAGCTGAAGAGTCAGGAAGGGGCTCCAGGGATGAGTGAAGTCAACTGAGGTTGCCTCTTTTATAAACAGCTCTGCAGTGGTTCTCTGGAAACCGAGGCTGGTTGCAAACCCCCGAAAAATCACTGCTCTGCAAGGCTTGTAACTACCATACCCATGTGGTCCTGCTCCATCTCCCATGTGTGGCAGTGCCAGCTGCAACCAGCCTCACACAGGGTCCGAGAGTTTCAGAACTGAAAGGCCAGAATCTTATCTTGGGTCTGGAATGCCCTGGCTGCATGGGTGCTGGGCTGGTGAGGGCAGACCTGGAAAAACACAGGCAGGGCATGCCTCATGAGGGGCTCAGTGCCCAGTGCCTGGGAGTCTCCAAAAACCATATGCATGCACACAAATGCACACCTGTGCATACTTATGCAAAAGGACACACACTTTTGCATGTTGACACACTCACACAACCACATGAGATAAAGAACTGTCGACCATGAAAGAAAATCTGAGCAGTGACCTTTGAATGAATTTAGTAAGAAAAGCATTAGTCCCATCACCTCTGGCCCAACCACACTGCCTCCCATCCCACTGTTAGAGAGAAACTCTTCTGGGTACAGAAGGGTTCTGGAAGCCTCTGTGTAAATGCCAAGTACCCAGGAAGGGAAGCCCAGGGGTCATTAGGTTTAGAGTGGGATGTGCTGGAGCAGCCCCTAGCAGGTGAGGAGGACCCCAGGTAGAGGGCTGGAAAGCCTAGAGGAGGAGTTCAGTGAGGGGTGACGTGGCCAAGACCTGCTGGGGATCTGGGGAGAGGTAGAGGGAGTGTGGTCAAAGAGGGACTTCAGGAAGGAGAGAGACTCCCCTGACACCTAGTTTGTTGAGGACAGGATTCCTCAAACTGTGAATTCTGGCCACACCCTGATATATATGCAAGAAGTGCCAACCCACAGAATAGTTTCCTTGATACACAGAGCTCAGCTACAGGCTGTCGCTACCGGTGTCATGCACCAGAGCGCCAAGAAAACCTTGGTCCATGCTTAGGGAAGCTAGATTTGTCCCCCTTCCCCAACACCCTAAGGGTGCCCTAACAACACAGTAGGCATCGGGATGCAGGAGAAGGTGAAACTTTAGTCAGGAGACAGGGCCGCTCCCACTTTGACACATTTAAAGGTAACAAATCAACAACTGTTAAATAAAACATGTTCTGTCTTCTTACTTTGATAAAGAGATCTTTGTAATAATTCTATGATAAAGTTCAAGGTTGGAATTCTCAGCTCTTGGAGCTCCAGGCTGGAATGTGGAGGTACAGGGGAAGACCTGTTTGCCTTGCCCCTACTTCCTCCCAGCTCCGTCTAGCCATGTCAGAGCTCTTGCACATAGGTGTCCGAGCTATGTCCACTGACCTTGCAGACACCCCCACCTCTCGCAGCACAGCCCACACCACAGAAGAGGGAACCCAGCAAGAGGTTCATGTAGACCCAGAAGGGTGCCTGAGGCTGTTTGGGCAGGGAATTCCACCGTCCGGGTATTGGAAGGTGGTGGGGTATTTGGATGGGGAGTGTGCTGGATGGGCAGGCACACTTGCCTCCCATGAGATGGAAAGGGGGCAGAGTTGTGCACTCTGAAGCATGGAGGTAGGGCAGGCCTTCATGCCTGGACCTAAAGATAATCCTGTCCCTCAGCCCTACTATGTATAGCTATGTGACCTTTTCTAAATGTACCTTCTCTGAGCCTTAGCTCCCCCTTTGTAAATGAGATAATAATACCTGTGTCACTGGTTTGCT